TTATTCTTTTTTTTTTCCTTTTTTCTATTCCTTTCTACGGCAGGAAAGAAAAGAGAAAATAAACAACCGAAGAAGAAGAATAACGAAAAAAGACGCTCGCGATTCCATGCGAAATACAAAAAAAGACTAGACAAAGATATCGAATACATATGCCAACACACACTCTCTCGAAAAGAAAAAAACATGGGCAAAAGAGAGAAAAAAAGGAAAAAAAAAAGAACAGTACACACAGGAGGAATATTGCAGTGTATAAAGACAAAGAAGAGTTGATCTACCTGTCAAGGGTTGATGAATAATTTCTTTCCTTCCTCTTCACATGAAATGGTAACACGTAGAAGCTGCACCATAGACACGTATCGAAAAAAGAGACATAGACACACCCGCAGATAAATAAGCAAAAAAGAAGAAATTAGATATATATCTATATCTGTATAGTTTCAATCTCTTTCCTTCTTTCTTTCTCTTTTACATATACCTTTGCTCATTCTCACTCCTTTGCAAAAAAAAAAAAAAAACAGAATAAACAAAAAAAAATTTTTTTCCTTTTAAAAAGTCCTTATTCTCTCTCTCTCTCTCTCTTCCCCTCCTCCCATTTCATAATAACAGAGATCAAGCACATCCCACACGATCACGGGGGATTAAACGAATTTCCTGTCCATACTTCATAAACACACTTCCTGCAGTTTGTGCAGGATTAATCCCAGTTCCATCTTTTGTTGTGGCTGCCATGGAGTCCACAGATGCGATGCCAAACTCCTCAGCGGCAAAGCGCAGGGCAGCGGTGAGAGGGGCCTCTTCAGCAATACTGATCACACGGTATGGTTGAGTCCGCTCAGAGGTAAGAATAATACGAAATGTCACTTTTCCTCCACTTGGGGCTGCCGCTTGTTGTTCTCCCTGTGACATTTTATTCTTCTTCTTCTTCTTACTTTGGCGCTTTACTCTTTTTTTTTTTCCTTTTCTTTCTTTTTTTCTTTTTTTGGGGGGTGTTATAACACTTGTTCTTCTCTTCTTCTACTCTCACTCTTTCTAGCTGTGGAAAGACACAAGAAAAAAAAAAAAGAAACAATGAAAAAAAAAAGAATAATCCATATGAAATACAAGGAAAGACAGGTAGACAAAGTAGAGCGCACTACAGAAGAGTAATAGTAAAAAGGGATGGGAAAAAAAGGAAAGAAAGAAAATCTTTACAAACAAGACACTCTCAAAAGTGGAAAAAAAAGGAAGGAAGGAAGGAAAAGAAAGGAAGGAGTAACGTTACAAGGAGAAAAACCAGAGAGAGAGAGAGAGAGAGTGTGTGTGTGTGTAGAGAAAACCAAAATAAAAAAAAAACCAAAATGAAAAACGTGATATATACATATATATGTATATATATACCAGATAAATATAAGATAAGATGAATCTCTTCGTAATCATTCTCCAACTCCACAGAGAGTATCTAACAATTTTTTTTTTTAATAATAAGAAAATATACATTGATATAATGATGGGATGCACATACGCATACGTACGCATATACACCAGTGAATAAAATAAACAATGAACACGGATCCCCGTGTTATTGATAATAATAATAATAATAATAATAATAATAATAATAATAATAATAAAAGTAAACATAATATTAGTAAAAGGGAGTTAGAAACAACCAGCATTAGAGAAAAGAGAAACAAAAACCATTGTACATACATATATTTTAATTTTCTTTGAGTGGTAACAGTTCCCATTCTTTTCCCTTTTCCATCCTTTCCTCCTCCCATCTTCAACCATTTCTTTTTTTTTTTTTTTTTTNGACTTTCCTCCCTTTCTCTTCTTAAGGTGCACTAGAAGGATAAAGAGAAAATGTTCTATGTTTCTTTTTTTGTATTTTGAGTTATGATATTTGTGAAGAAGAACATGTGAAAAAAAAAAAAAAAAAAAAAAAAAAAAAAAAAAAACTATACCGACTTTCCTCCCTTTCTCTTCTTAAGGTGCACTAGAAGGATAAAGAGAAAATGTTCTATGTGTCTTTTTTTGTATTTTGAGTTATGATATTTGTGTATATGTGTATGTGTATGGGTGGTATGCTATTAAATATTGGAAAGGATTTTAATTCATTTATATATATATATATATATATATATATATATATATATAGTCGTTAAACACTCAATCATCTCATGCTGACCACTTCACCTTCGCTTCAAGATCCTCATATGCTGGTACTGGTAGGGGAAATGTCAACAGCAGATCCGTTTCCGATGCCCCATGCACCCAATGCACCACTTTGCGATTCGCATCTTCAAGTGATAGTAACAAGAAAGACTCTCCCCCCTCACTGAGAGGAAAGGGTACAAAGTCCTCAAGGGCAATGGTCTGCCCTGGAACTTGAATAGCGTGGGAGACAGCTTGAATAGTATCTAGTGGATGCCGTGTACGTGCATCAATGGATATAGCGGCTACACGTACATCCGAACCACCGATATAATCACCAGGGAGTGGAACAGATATATCTTTATTCGCTTTGAGGGAATCAATAGCATCAAGTACTTCTTCTCCAAGTGTTCTCCACTCTCCGAGTGTGATTTGTTGTACTTTTGAATTGTATGTACACTGGGTAACAGGTACTGCACTCATCACGCGATGATTTACACGTTTCCGCACCGCGGCGAGATCATCACTTTCACCTTCTTTATCTAATTGAGTGTCCCGTACTAACAATATCATTCCCTCATGATCTGGAAGGGCAAGTTGTAGACTACGGACGAGCGGACAGAATGCCTCACTGTAGGAAGCGAAAATGACAATAGGCAACTCCATCAGAGATTTGTAAACTTCTTCATAGTCTTCCTGAATATTGGATTCCGTTGAACGCTCTACTCGTACAGGTTGGAAAAATAGGTTTGCAAGGAAATCTTGAAGTTGGGAAGTACTATTGGGAGCGCTAAAACCATCATTTATATTAAAGAATAATGGATTCCTTTCTTTTAAATCCTGAATTGACTTTTTATTACGTTCTATATCATCAACAAATTTTGCAAAAGCCGCTTCTGATGCTGGTCTTCGCAGAAGTGTGGCAGGGGCACAGGCATCATTGTTATCCAAGGCAAGCTTCAGAGGAGATGGAAGTTCTTTTCCCTGTTCACGACTCATTTTTACAGCGTTAAGATAGGGTAAAAACCGTGGAGAACTTTGCCATGGACGTGCCATAATAAATGCATTATATACAAAAGGTGTAAATAAGTCATTGGCTCTTCGACCACGATTGTGAAGGGTGTTGTAGGCAATTTCCCGTTCATACCGTGTGTTTAGGTATTCAAACATCCTTGTACAATATACAAAAGGAGCATGTGTGGCGAAGAAACGTGGACGTTTTGCCGATGCCTTTTGTGGAAGTATTTCCGGTTTATATCGACGTGCGGTATGTATATAGGCCTCTGTGCCAGGAACTGGAATCTTTTGCTCAGCATCATACCCAGCATCTTTCCAGCGATCGGTAAGATTAGAAGGAAGATGATTATGGGCATTCACATCCAATTCCACCACGTTAAAGAGATTTGTATGCCAAACACCACCAATCCATGAACTACCATTATCTGCACGAATGGCTTTCTGTAACATACCCCGTTCTGTACGTACATAGGTACCACCATACTCATTAAGAAGATCTGCCACTTTTACATCACGATTAATAAAGTAATCATCATTTAAAAATACATGAATAGGTGTCATATTACGTAGACGGAATAATTGCATTTCAATCGTATGTGAATCCACTGTAAGGCGAAGACCATAAGGCATAATAGCATCTTGATGAATAGTCGTAATACGATTATGGCGACCTCGTAATTCCTCCTTATTATTAGATATACAGGCGCTTAACATAAAATTATTGGGTCTGTGAACCCAATACGGGTTATGACCAGGGGAAACAAGCATTAGACGACCCGTATGCCACCGCATATGTTGTTCAACACTTCGAATACTATACCGCAGTTCATCCCGTTCACGATCACGAGTACTGGAGGACTTGGCTACCGTTCCATGTACGATGCGCAGAATATCCGCGTTTGTCTTGGCTCGAGGTAGCATATTTACACCTGAACAGAATGGTTGTGTAAAGGTTCCATTCTCGTAATATTCCTCTTCCAATCGTTTAATCGTTTCACTACATTTACGCAGTACACTACGACGATATGCATGATTGGGTTCTGTACCATTTACAAATGTGTATACAAAGTCCATATTGGCGTATTTCTTCTCCAACTCTGCATGTGTATATGTCTGTAAAGATGTGATGACTGTAATATCATCTGAATGCCGTGGTTCTGTTTCGCCTGGGAAGACAATACGTTGACCCTCACTGTCGACAACAGGGCCCTCTCGTCCATATGGAACTGTGCGGGAGTGCCATGTGTAGGCGAGAAAACAAACCAATTGTAGTAGGAGGAGAATGGCAAGAATAAAAACTTTTCGGCCTCTCAGAAGGCGCAACTTCCAACGGCGTTTTATAGGCCTCCAAGGGCGGCGAGATTGCGCTCGTTGATCTCGCATTTTTACCTGTTCCTACTATTTCTGATTTCCTCTTTCTTTTCTTTTTTTTTGGGGTTTTTTTTTTTTTCTCTTATTATTCGTTCTTTGTTCTTCTCTTCTTGTTTTGCGTTTTGTTTTTTCGTTATTGTTGGATGCAGTGGGATGAGACCCCTTTTGTTTTTATTGTCTATACAAATAAATAAATAAATAAATAAATAAATAAATAAATAAATATTTTTTTTTCTATATTTTTTTCTTTCGATTAAAAGAACCAATTACTTGTTTTCTTTCCTTAGATTGGTATTTCTTTATATTTCTTCTTGTTGCTAATAAGAACACCGTGTTGGGTTTATCCCTCCTACTCTCTTTATACTTCAGAGAGTCTTAATTGTGTCCTTTTAGTTCTTATTAATTACCGTTTAGAGACTTGCTCTCTCGGTTTGTTTGGCTGTTTTTTTTTTTTTCTTTTCTTTTTTCCTTTACTACTATCACTATCACTATCACTACAACTAATACTACTACTTCCCCTCCTTTTTGTGGTTCACAGAAACGCACAGGTGTACAAAGACTCTACAGTGTCTTCCCTCAGGAGGTCGAGTGTAGTATAGAAATCACTCAGCCACAAGTGAGAGGATAAATAATTAATAATAATAAATAAAAAAAGAGAGAAATATTAACGTCTCCCTCCTCACGATCTTATATTTGTGTTAATATAAATGAAGAAATAGTAATTTAAGAGTTGATATTCGGATCAACAAAGGTATTTGCCCCTTTTTTTTTATTTATTTTTATTTTTTCTTCTTCCCTATGACTTATTCTCCTTTGCAGGAACCTTGAAAGTTGTCGATGTTCACAAAGAGAAAAAAAAAAAAAGAAGAAAAGAAAAACGATAAATAAATAAAAACAAAAAAACCACTGAGGCAAACAGCATACACCATAGGGTGGGATTCACACCAGTAACAGTGGAAGTAGAAAGAAGAGAAGGAAATGGAAAACACAAAACAAAAACAAAAACAAAAACAACAAAAAGAGATCATATAAACATGCAAAATTAGATACGCAGCGAAACAAGAAGAAAGAAGGAAGAAAAAAAAAAAAATAAAGTACGAGACAAATCAAGGAAAAAAAAAAACAGGTATATAAACATCATTTGCCAACTAGTCATTTATACCTATCTATAGGTATATATGATCTGTGTCTCACTCATGTCCTTACTTTGATGGATTAATTCTTTCTTTGTCAGTGGGCAATCTGTTATAAGATTAGTAACCATGATTGGTATACAAGCAGAAACAGAAGCATACAAAAAAAAAAAAAAAAAAAAACATAGAATGAAAATAAAAAGAAGAGAGAAAGGAAAGAAGAAGAAAAAAGAAAAAGAAACGTTTTCTACATTTTCTTTTAGTTTTCTTTATATTTCCTGGAGAGAGGTGGAAAGTGGAAGGGGATTTTCAAGCAGAAATAGGAGTAAACAGAGTAATAGATACACATAGACGATCTTGTCGGCAATGGTTCCTGATATTCTGTAGTTCTTATTCTACTTTTTTTTATTTCTTATTTTCGTTTTGTACATGGCTCTTCTATCATCACATTTCTAAAAAGAGCATAAACATAAACATAAACAAACACAGAAAAAGGAAAACAAAGTTTTTTTTTGTTTTTTAAATATAAATGTCTCAACCCCATCAATGTTTAATTCACTCAACAATTCTTTCTAGTCGGGGGCAGACATAGCCATGTCGTGTGTTATGAAAAAAAGAAATAAATAAATAAATAAATAAAAACAATAGGGGGTTCTCTTGGGTTGATTTACATGAATGATACACAATAGTCGGAAAAGAATGGGAAAAGAAAACAAAATTAAAATAAACAAATAAATAAAATAAAGACAAGGGAATCCATGAAAGAAGGGAAAACACATCAATATATACACTAGGGGAAGGGAACGTATTGCTGCTGTTATTCAGTTAAATGGTACAGATGGAGACAAGAAAAGTAAACCAATAGTGGGATAAAAAGAGAAAGAAACACCAACAAAGGAGAATTTATTACTCCAGGAAAACTAATACATTTCTGATAGAGCTGTTATTGCACCTAAACATACAGGCATATATATATATATATATATATATTTCTTTTACACACATACACACACCCTCTCTCTCTCTCTCTCTCTTTATCCCCTTTTACTTCTTAATATGACAGTGCAGTAACTTGAAAAAAAAACAATAAAAAAGAAATAATACCAACAAAAGTAACAACAACAATACATTTCTCTCCTTTCTATTTTTATCACATCAACATCCATTACCACATTGCATAATAATAATAATAATAATAATAATAATAATAATAGGCATGATGACTAATAAATAAATAAATATATACATATATATTTATATTTATATTTTTTTATTAACATTGACATCATGTCATACGTACATATACTTATATGTACACATATAGACTATTCATTCTTCTCCGACATCCCCAATAGGCCATGTTCCTCCAGTGCCTGTCTAAGCAGAGTGGACATCGCGTCTACTGGGCGTCGTGGTCGGGATGTCACATTTCTCATAAATGGATGACACAACGCCTCATGGGCGGTTAGTCGCTGTGAGGGTTCATAACAAACTAACTTCTGCAGTAAATCCACACCGTCATCACCGGCTCGCTCGCGAAAGTGTGACACCTCCACATATTCACTAAAAGTTGGCTGGAAACACAATTCGGGAGGAAATTTGTAGAAATTCTTCTGAATCGCATCCATATCAGCCGATATGCCTTTATTACCATCTTCATCCGTACCTTGAGCATTGGAACGAGAGGGTTGATTTACAGTATTTCCCCGGGTTGTATCTTGCTGGCGTTCTTTTGGTTTCTGTGATACATTAGAGCGTTGTAGTGTTTGTGTTACTTGTTGTTTTTGGGCAGATACGGCTGCTTGTTTTCGTACGAGTTCTTGTGCAGCTCCCAAGAGTTGAGTCGTCTTTGGATAAGTCATCATGGATGGCCAATTATCTGGTGTGGGAGTACCGAGAAGATGAAATATCTTCACAAGTTGATCTACATCTGTACGTCCACTGAATAATGGCTTTCCAGTAACCATCTCTGCAAAGATACAACCAACAGACCACATGTCCACAGCGAAACCATAGAGTGCTGTCCCCATCATAACATCAGGGCTACGGTACCAGAGTGAGACAACATCATGTGAGTATTTTTTCACTGGGATGTTTTCTACTCGTGCTAATCCGTAATCCCCAAGTTTCACCACCAAATTAGAAGAATCACTGTTAATATCATTCTCATTAGCCTCATTCACATTTGCACGATCATTTTCAAGAGTGGTTCCATCCCTAGTGTTGTTGTGCATAGTGTCATGATCAAAATTAGTATTATTAAGAGAGTGGTTAGGTTCATTTCCATTATTGGCTTTTTGCGATGTAGCACTTGATATAACGGTATCTATAGTATTCTTTCTTGAATTTATTACTCCTTCTGAAAATGTGGTCTTACTCATTCCATGAGGCGTGTTCCCAACATTAAGAAAAATATTTTCTGGTTTTAGATCACGGTGTACAACACTTTTCCGATGCATATAGCGTAATCCAACGAGTACTTGCCTTAAGATTTGCTTTACCTCTTTCATCAACTCTGGTACTGGTTTATTGCGGTTGCGATCCATGTACTTCTTGAGGTCATACTCACAGTACTCAAAGACAAGTGTCATTTTAGGTGGTTCAAAGAGTACGTCACGTAGAGAGACAATGTTATCATGCTTTAGTTCTCGCAGTAGGCAAACTTCACGTATCGCAGTTGCGGGAACACCCTCATCCTCACCATTGATAATCATACGTTTAAAGGCAACAATCTGCCCGGTTGCAAGTTCTCTCGCTTTGTACACCACGCCATAAGTCCCTTCGCCAAGCTTTTCAAGGCACTTTAGCCGATTCAACGTGGACATCTTTACAATCACAGAAGGAAGAAAAGAACAAAAAAAGAAAAAAGAAAAGAAAAAGAGCAAAAGAAAACAATCATTCATAAAAAAAAATAAGAAAAGGAAAAAAAAAAAACACAAAATCAAGAGTGCAGAAGCATCACATAAGCTACTACTACGGCAAGAGAACGATAGAAAGACGATAAGTCGGAGAAGTGTAATACGATTTTTTTTTCCTTTTTTGATTGTGTTGACAGAAAATAAAAAAAGTGAGTGCGACAACGGTGTCTATGCGTGTGTACCTCTCTCACTCAATCCACGCACTTTTTTTCTAACCATTTATTTCTCACTCCCTTCCCCCACCCTATCCTCTTTATAATTTTTACTCGTTCTCCATTTCACTTGATCAAAGAATATTAAAAAGTGATCCCATACCCACACCCACATGCTGTTTCTCTAAATATGAAATTATCTCTATATTACATGGGGGTATTGCAGGCAATGACTGATGACACTTCAACGTCTCTTTCTTTCTTTCTCTCTCTTACCCCCACCCTTCTTCACACCTTCATATGTTTACCTAATAAATTTGATTCTTTTGGTTTTCCATTCGTTGCCTCTTTTGTAAGGCACTCTATTTCTATGCCCTCTCTAATTCTCTCTCTTTAGCCACTCTACCTCTCTCTTACTATCCATGTACTCCGCTCCGGGTGTGTAGTAAAAGGAAAAAAAAAAAAATGAAACCAGTAGGGGTTACACGAAGGGTGGAATGAGAGAAAGAAATATATCTAAAGAAAAACAAGGAACAAGTATAGACAAAAAAGAGAGAAATGGTGTTCTTGTATGTGTAGGAGTGGTGGTCGTGGTCGTGGTCGTGATGATGATAAAGATCGAAATACACACAGACACACACACACAGAATAATAATAGAAATAAAAATACAATATAACTAAAAAAGAAGAGCGTTAGAGGTTCTTCATAGGGAGGTTGACCCTGATCTCGCCTCATACGCGCGGAGTCGGGCATTCAGCTGTCCAATAGCGGCATCCTTTCTCCCTAGGAGGGTGTGTGCGTCATGAAGGCGCGTATTCACGTCAGTGAGTTCCTCCTGCAGTCGTCTTGTGTCATCCTCGTTAGCTGCGAGTTTTGAGGCTAGGAGTCGCACGGTGCCTTGGAGTTCATTATTCAGTTGCTCTCGGTAGTGTGCGTCATCCTGGAGTTTGGTTCGGGCGTCTTCTGCGAGTGCGAGTGCATCCTCCAACTGGGCCCGCTGCCGCTGAGCCTCTCTCTGTGCTGTTGCCATTTCTTTCTGCCCCTCTGTCTTGGATGCTAGGGCGCGTGTGAGGTCGGCACGAAGTGCATGGAGTACATTATCCATGCGGCGTACATCTTCCTCGTGTGTCTCTCTCATCTCGGCGAGTTCGTCCTGCCACGCCCCCTCCCGCATCGCGGCGTCTCGGTGGAGTTGTCCAATCTCCGCCCGCAGCCGTTCGAGTTCCGCCGCCGCCGTCGCGAGCTCCCGGCCTGCCCGGTCCCGCTCGCCCTCCGCCGCCCGCCGGCCCTCCGCCCGGACCCGCTCGAGTTCTGCCGCCGCCGCCGCGAGGTCCCGCCGGGCCGACTCCTCCCGCTGGGCGAGCTCCCCCCGCAGGGCCGCCAGCTCCCCGTCCCGCTCCAGCAGTTGGCCGCGGAGTTCCTCCACGCAGCTCTCACGCTCAGCCGCCGCCGCTCGCTCACGGGTCCGGTGCTCCACCTGCAGTGACTCCAATTCCCCGGCAAGGCGGCTTACTGTACCCTGAAGGCCATCCGCCCGTGCCGTGAGGAGGTCACGCTCAGACTCAGCATCCTTCCGTGCCGCACTCTCATCCGCAACTTGTCGTCGTAGGCCTTCAATAACAGTTTGAAGTTGGTTTACCTTGGCCCAATGTTTTTCCTGCATTTCCTCCCGCTGTCGCACCGCTTCTTCCGCCATCGTTTCCTTTTCTTGACGTAATTGCTCTACAGACTGACGCAACGATTGTGTGACCTTCTCTTCATTTTTTAACAGCTTTTGTTTTACTTTCTCATGTTGTTCTACCAATTGCTCACGTTGGGCATTCCCAATCTGCAGCTCCTCACGGAGTCCTTCTACTTCACGTCTGTACGTTTCCTTTAGGGTTTGCTGCTCCAGTGCATGAGACTCTTCTAGCACACGTAATCGTTCTCCTACACTGCGGAGCTGATCCTCTAATTCTTGTCGTCGTTCCTGTTGCTTGCTAGCCTCACGTTCAGTTCGTGCGGCGATCTCTTCATTCTGAGCTGTTAATTCTTCTATTTTTCGTACATGACGTTGACTTATCTCTTGCAACCGTTTATCTGCTTCAGTACGTTCTTTTGTGAGCGTACTCTCAAGATGGGTAACTTGTTCTTCTAGAGTTTGTATCTTCTCTTCAAGTTCTTTACGTTCAGCCTGAAGTCGTTCCTGTTCTTCACGACTTAACTGAAGGGTACTTCGCATCGAGGTAATTTCTCGACCCTGTTCCGCTATAAGGGCCTCAGTTTGTTGTCTATAATCCGCCATAATGTGACTCTTTTCATCTCGTTCTCGTTCCAGTAATGCAAGGAGTTGCTGCTTGCGCTGCGCCGTCTCTTCAGTAAGTTTTGCTTTTTCATCCATTACATTTTCTGAGAGTCGTTTGAGAACTGAAATTTGATCCAACAGACGCTGTGTTTGCTCTGCATGCTCTTCTCTCAGCTCTTGCAATGCATCATCGTATCGAATCTGTGAATTCCGGTTAACTTCTCGCTCTCGTGCAAGTTCTGCGCGGAGTTTATCAATTTCGGCGCCACGAAGAGAGTACTCTTCGCGTACTTCCGCTAATTCCCGTTCCGCAGTCACAAGCAGTTCGCGTAACTCTGCATGTCGCGCAGGAGTACTTTCTCTCCCAATAGAGCTGGTACGATTATTCCCAGTGCGTTCTACTGGAGTGGGCGGAGCCCGACGTTGTATTCCATTAAAGTATTGTTGTTGTTCATTATAATATGGCTCACAAGAATTGTCACTTCCACGGAGCAGTTGAAGATTAGGACGATGGCGCACTTGGTGTTCTTCTCCTCTCCTTTCTCCCTCTTCATCCCTTTCTGTAACTTCTGCAGCTGCTGTTCTTGCAGATGTTGCCCCCACATCGGCTTCCCCTTCTACTGCTAACTTGCTGAAACCACCATTCATCGATGCTGACGATGGCGGTGGTGGTGCGGTGCGACTTCGTATGGCCTCCTCCACACTAAAAGCATATGAGCCATCAGGATAGGAAGAAGTGTGGAGGCCAGAGCTATTGATCTCAATCGCACTGGTATTCACAGACATTTCTTTCACTGGGTCACTCACACAAACACACACAGGCAAATTTTCTATGGGGTTATTTCTTTTTCTTTTTTTTTCTACTCTTTTCTCTTTCCTTCAATTAATGCAGGCTACTCTCTCCTGAAACAGCGCCTCTTCCCTTCCTGCATGACACACATAAATACACGTTTCAGTAAACAAAGAAGAAGAAAAAGGAATAGTATTAGGTAAAAAGTAAAGTAAAAGAACCCAATATGGTAAACACAGCAAAGAAAAAAAAATAAATAAATAAAACAATAACGGCAATAGACTCTCCAGAATCATATGTACGGCTATGCACATAGGAGAAAAAAAAAAAAAAAACATGTTTCGAAAGACAGATTATTCTATCTCATTGAGATTACTGTTCATTTTTTTTTTTTCCACTTCCTCAATTTCTTTTTCCTCACTCTGTCAACTTTGTTGTGCACGTTCCCGATCAAAGCATCTCACTTCCTTAAAAGCTTTGTTAGGAGGTGACGACACATGTGACGCTGCCCTGGATCAGTCGCGAACTGGGCCAGTCCCCAAAGTGTCCATGTATTCTTTGCATTGAGAACAAATGCACGCTGAAGTAATTCCACACCTTTATCCCGTTGTGCGATAGTGTTGCTGTCAACGTGGTCATAATAATACCTCGTGTAGAGCAGCCCCAAGGATGTGAGCGCCCAGTCATTTTCTGGACACCGTGTCACCGCGAACTCCCACAACTGCCTGGAAACAGTCGCACTACTTTCTTCTTTGTTAACTATTAAAGGGTCTGTAGGAATACTGCATCTCGCAATCTCTCCCAACCAATAGGCAGCACGAGACTCCCATACCCCATTCTTCATTGCTACCACGTTGTTCCCCTCATCCCATCGGCTTTTCGTCCCTTTTGTATCTGTATCCCTGAGTACAGCTGCAAAACATCGACTAGCATCTGAAAACTCAAAAGAAGATACGTTTCCAGTTGTTAACATTTTCACACGCCCCATACCACAAAGAGCTCCCTTGTTACAGGGATCAAGCGATAGAACCATTTTAAAAAGTGCAGAGGCTCTCTCCAGATGATTTGATTTTTCATTAGAGTCAACTCGTCGAAAAGAAACCTCCTCTCTTTTCCTCTGTCTAGGAAAGTTTTCGAGTCGCCACCACTCTTTTAACCCTTCCGGGGCACTATAAAGAGAAAGGGTATCCACAACACTACTAATACTACTGCTTTTAGGGACCCAAGAAGAATTATGTTGATTCTCCTGATGCAGATGCGCCCAGCCAAGACCCACAGCAGCAGCACGGTTTATTGGGTGAAAAAGGCAACGTGTAGACTCCAAAACACTGATGTAGGCATTAGCAGCTTCTTTCAGTTGTTTGCAGAGAAAAAGATTTTGTCCCATCAAGTACTGTGCAAGAGTGTTGTGTGGATATAACTGTAACGCATCCGTCAAGAGACGAAAACTTTCACTATTTGTTTTATTATGATTCTTATCTGCATCTTCACATTCAACAAACCTCCACGTAAGCCAATGACTCTTTAGCTGAGGATGTGCTTTTTCCCACACCCAGTTTGAATGGCTTTCCAAGTTATATATGTCCTGTGTTCGATTCATTTTTTTCGAAATCATATTTTCCATCGGTGCGTGAAACTCCACACGTCGTTCCATGATCCACCAGAATAGCATTACACTAGATACGAATCGATCTCTCATCTTTTCGATACTTTCCTCCTGCTGTTCTGCACTCTCAAATGCAAAGGGAAAGTTACGCCAAGATGCATCACTCTTTGCGAGACCAGTTACGGAGGAAAAGGATCGAATCACCTGCTCTTCCACTATATCCTCATGTATTTCTTCTTCACTACGCAAATTAGATGAAGTAGTAGCACCTTTTGCAGAAAAAAAAGGACGATCTGTAACGTTGTTGATATCAAGAGAGTGCTCCAAAATACTATATCGATGACGTCCTTCCACCAAACATCGATGAAGTGCTATTTGCTGCGTCGATGCATCTGAGAACCCAGGAGGTAGCAAAACCCCAATACGTTGGTTAAGGCGAATCTGACACCAACAGAGACTAGCATACGCTAGTAATTCGAATGCATGAAAAAGGGTATTACTCTTCTTTTTACTAAATATATTTACCTTATCACTAGGTTTATTACTTTCCCACCACCAAAAAAAAGGTACTTCCTTTTTCTTGGTGGATAATTTTTCTTTAGAACTATTTATAAGTGGTTTCGCACTGTAGGAATCCCGTTGCAGCATCGCAATATCGCGAGCAAATCGCCGGAATGCAATGGCAGCATCTTCATACTTCCTAGAAATGCTACAACAGAACCACCCTGTAAGGAATGATCTCATTGCGGAAGCAGATGTTAAAATTCCAGTAGATGTTTCCTGCATTGCCCATGAAATACCTACATTCCGTTGCCAACCGAAAGTCTCTTGTATACAACCCATGGCGAGCGTAATGAGAGAACCACAATCGTCCTCCATAGTATTAGCAACTGCAACAATAATGGAATGGGAAAAGAAGAGCACGTCTGGGTAAATGTTATTGGAAATACAAGCTTTATTAAGTTGAGTGTGGCACCATTCCCATTCAGAGCGTAGTATTACTACCGCATAGTCCATGTCATCCAGAACACCTCTTTCTGAAGTGGATAGATTGCAGAGGGGAGGAGGAATGCCCTCCGCTTGCCGCAACAAAACAGTTTGTAGAGTAGCTAGAGTCCGCTCTAACCAGTACCTGAGGAGTTGTAACGGCGTATTAAGCATAACAACAATCTCTTTCTGTAAGAGCGTAGAAGATGCACTGGCATAATTGAAAACATCCACCACTAAGGATAGAAGCTTTTCTAATTGTGTAGGCATCATACACCCAAATAGCGACACAGAATGCGCTCGTAGTTTTTGCGTCAATTGCTCAAGTGATGTAAGCAATAAATATGTCTCAACAAATATATTATTCCCGTTGTGGTTAGTAAATGAACTATTAAAGAGCACTTCCTCCATTGTAAAATGACTATCAACAACAGTTTCCTTATTTCTTTCCAAAGTCAACCTTTCTTCTGATAAAAAATTTTCATCTTTCACTGTTCCAGAATGCAGTAACCCATTCCGCCGCATACGTTCGATAAAAGCAAATAAAATTGTATAATTTGGTTGATCCTTTGATACTGGACAATTTACTTCAAAGTGGTCAACGTCAAGGAGATAAAAGGGGAATCGCTCATCATCTAGTGTGGGGTTAGCAGACTCCGGCTCCACAATACGAATTATGCCATTTACTCGTCGTGTTTCACCAAAGGAAAGAATATTAACGAATCCACTCTTACCACAGTGCTCAATCACACGGAAAAATTGTTTATTTAAGTTTGACAGATACTCTTTATTGTAGTCACCAAGGGTGGCAATTACCTCTGAGGGTCCTATACCACCTAATCGTTGATAGTAATGTTTTAAAATTGTTACAACACTCGCAATTGGCGCTCCAAAATGCGGTGTTGCATAAAACACTATACCTCGGAGAGAACTCAGTAGCAACTTCGCCGATGATACATCTTCGTTATCATGGTTTTTCTCCAAAGATGATGAAACCGATAATTCCAAGGAAAGAATCATCTGCTTGACAACTAACCCACCAAGAGAATGGGTAATAAATACGACAGGTCTCCTACCGACGCCTACAGAATTAGAAAGAATTCGTTTTGCAAGATCTTTTGCGCAGTGCTCCAATGTCTCTTCCTCCTTTTCCTTCATAGGTGAAGTAAGATGTGGTAGCTGGGTTTCATTAACCGAAGATATCTCTAAGATTTCTCTTGTCTTTTTAACATCCTCTTTGGATAACCTAAGTTCCGAAGAAGAATTTATACCACCCGGCGTATCTGCACCCCACCAGTGAAAGATACTACTATCCCCTTTCCCTTCTTCTTGTTCTTCTCGATGTTTCCTTACTTGTTCTACGTTCGCCGGAGATGCCCATTGCCATAGAGTATGCGAGTAGCCTACCGAAAGAATTCGACAACGCTGGAAATCCTGCGGAAGAAATACAGCAGGCCAAAGTAGACCACGCTCGTTTGTCCAACACTGGAACTCTCCACTTCCAAGTCCATGAACCAGCACGACATCAAAGTCAGCATCACCAGCGATGCCATTGTAAAGTAGAAAGACTTTTTCCGTAAGGGAAGGGTACATTTTATGGTAAGAAAGCGAAATGACACTATTCCATCGTTCAGCAGAGGATTTCATATCTGCAGGAGAACGATATAATATAATGAAATATCCACCAAAAAAATAAAAACACACCTTCGGTGTGTCCTTTTGTGTACACTACACAAGTCCCATCTTTGAGCGATACCATGTGTTTGGGTATGTTTCAGTGAGTAATGAAGCAAAGAAAGAGAAAAGAAAGCAGAAAAAAAAAAAAAACACATATATATACATAATTATCTATGTATCAAGCAAAGGACGGAACCAGAAAATGAGTGAAGAAAATCAAATAATTATATATATATTATTCAACATACTTGAATTAAAGAAAAAAAGAGTTTCACTAATATATATATATATTTATGGAGAAAAGCAAGGAAGAACTTGTAAAACGAAAAAAAAGTGGAAACATACCTTATCCAGGACGTGAAAACACAACACTTACCGACTCCATATAGCGCATCACTCCACCAGCACGCTTTGCCCACATAGCCTTCGCGTCCCTGAAAAATGTGCCTGGGAACTCCCGCTCAAGGGTTGTTGCCTGTACCTCGACAGCCGTCGTTAATCGCTGTACAAGGCACAGTAGCTCTGCCTTTGGTTTGTACATGGGGGAAGATGTAGAGAGTAGAAATCCCTCATTGTCTCGCTCTGCTAAAGATAGAATCCCCGAAGTCTCAGGAGTGCAAGTGACAAGCTGTACCCAAGAACGCAATGCCGAAAGTGCCCATTGTGTTATGGCGCCACTTTTATTTGTGTCGTCAACGTTTGCATCAATGCGCGAAGGCGCTGGTACTCTATATCGATGTGTGCGATTCTTTTTTTCAATATCCCCAGTGAGTGAATCGCGTAACTCCAACACACGCTCTCGAAGACGCCAAAAACTCTCAAATCCTGCCTCAACTGCAAAGCGTTCTTCTGGTATAGGCACCCAAACGGCAGAGTTAGCAGCATTACTTGCTGGTGGGCGACGTAACTGTTTTAGCATTTCCATCACCTCTCCTGCCTCCAATACACACTTGTTGTACTGCATACGGTGATATTGAAAAGATGTAATATCATCCTCAGTTACACACCAACTCCAGTACAAACGGAGGGAGTCCCGTAAGTAACAAAATTCGCAAATTGGAGGACGAAAAGCTATCGTAATAGCGTTTGAACGCTCACGAGCTAATGTTACTCCAAGTTGTTTAAGACGTTCAATCTCAGTATTTATCTCATTAATTGTGTCACGCAATGATTGATAATAAGAGGGAAGCAATAGACGACGTTGTATTCGGGGATCATAAAAAGTGTACTCAGTAAGGTAAAAGAGATTGGACTGGTTCTGATAATAATAAAATATACTACTAACGTCATGAACTTCGTAAGTTGTCACACGTACTGTACGATATCTTCGTGCTGGAGTAGATGAATCTTTGGTACTAACTGAAGGAGTTTCAGATGGTTTTGCATCTCCTTCATGCAACACTTGCTGCGTAGAAGAAGAATCTTGAACTATAGGTAAAGATTCGGCGTTATCTGTAGATCTTGTGACGGTTTCGTTTTCATTACTTTTTCCTTGTTTTCCTTCATTTAAAGATTGTTCCTGTATAATGTGTCTCCCAGATGAGGGAACAGAACCCTCCCCGTCCAGAACAGCAACAACGTTAGATAACCACAAAATAAGTGAATCAAAAGTTTGTATGAATTTAGCATATGCCGATTGCACGCAGTTTGTATCCAAAGTATTCCCTTCAATACTATTCGTTTCTGATGCACCATTCTCCTGAAGCTCTTCCCTTGAACTTATATTTGGTGCTATCGCTTGCACAGAAGCCTCTCTTCCCTCAGCGACAGTTTCACCCTTAACACTACCTCTCTTTTTCGATCTCCCAAAAGTCACTACGGTGAAGGCGTAATTGTATTTCTCGTTAAGATCATTCAACACAGTTCTTCCCCGTCGAAGTCGGAGCTGTATAGAACGAAGTGAAGCCTCATGAGAACGAAAAAGAGCTCGTGTATCAGAAAACGGACCACAAATGGTTGAAGTGGACACCGAAGACAAAGAAGTTCGTGACATGTCACCATGGCAATAATGAATGGGAAATTGTGTAGCACTTAAACTTGAATGCGTTTGTTGCATATTATTCGAGGACGAGGATGCTGGCCCAAAGACGAAGCCACTGATGGCATCAGCATCATCGATAAGGGCGGTACAGGTAGTATTTAGGAGCTCAACATCTTCACTGGTGAACTTAAGGCGAGTCGTCGCAAAGTCAATGAGCAACTGCTGATCCTCCACTTTGGGATACGCAATAGCCATCTGAATTTTCTTCCACACTTAGACTAGAAATGGCAAAAAAAAATATATACCTCTTTTTTTTAAGTATCTGAATCAGCTATCACCTCTAGCAAAACAAAAAAAAAAACAGCAAGAATGTCAAGAAGAAAGGAAAAAAAAAAAAAAAACAGAACTATCTCTGCAAAGTTTCAAAGGGGGAAATGCCAATAATCGATACATAAACTCCCTATATAGGTTTTTTTTTTTTTTTTGTAACTCTGAAATTTCAATGCGAATTTTTCACCATTTTGCAGAAATCCCCTTTTTATGTTACCAAATAAGGTCAAAAAATAATTGGGGATACCCGTTTCCAAAATCAATTTTTTATAGAAGTTGAACGATACGCATCCCATTCATCCATTGACTTGAATGGCTTTGCTACAATGTACTGTGACGTTCCAAAATGCTTTTCTTCAGTTTTAACAACTCTCAGGCCAGCTAGTCGCAGATACCTTCTTATATCACGATTCCACCAACAACCCCACTTTCTTGCATGGTTCGGTGCCCACTTGTCAAGATAATCGTTCATACGCGACCAACGACCTTTGCCATGTTCAAGCAAAAGAAGATTTCCACTAGGTTTACAGACTCGAGACATCTCCCGAAGCGCACGAACGGGATCATCAAAACTACAAAGTCCAAACATGTCAATAACAGTATCAAAACTGTTGTCGGCAAAGGGTAATTGCTCAGCAGCATAGTTTGCAACGGCAAAAATTTGCTTACTTTGTTCATCCCCTGACGTTGTCTGATCTATTCTCCCTTTCTCAGCATCGCGTCGCTTCAGTTCTGTCCATCCTTCACTAGAAAGAAGAGGCAAAGCGTTACCAGGCAAAGTACCTTGCAGGATGGGGGCTACTGTCCCATTTACCAAATTAGAGTTATCGTCACTCAGTGGTGTGGAGAGCACCTCCACAACAGTACCATCACCGTGAAGAATCTTACGTTTTATTACGCCACCTCCTGCAGGACGCTGGTGTTCCCCATTTTGGCTCCCTGATGCGGAGACACCCAAATCAGTGGTTCCCCCCTCCGCTGCACGTGAGTTTTTCACTGCATCAAGAATGCCATCAATGTCATAGTCGGGATAACGGTAGGGCCAATATCCATAACGCCGATGAATCTGTAGGGCAGCTGACTCTACCATACCCGGTGAGCGATCACTTAATACTACTTCTACTACACCTTTATTGCTCGTATCAGTTAGTTTTTCACCTTCATTAGTCGTCCTAGATGTTGTATTTGGAGTTTGCAGAAGTGCGTCGTAGTATGCCACAATTCCACCACATCCTGCCCCAACCTCCAAGACACGACCATGTACCAATCCCTCCTCTCGCAGCAGCCGTCGTCGCCAGCGACTGATGCCCAGATAAAACTCCTGTCCGCGCGTTTTCTTATCGTACATATTTTCATGTGAGAGATCATTATATCGCTCGATCCGTTGGTGATTCCCTACAGTATAGGAGGGAGGGGGAGTAAGGGCAATACCAACAACATAAGCTGTTCCTGTGAATATAGTGGCACATGACGTGAAAAATACAACGCGGCCAAGCATCAGGTGTTTTTTTTTTTTTTTTAATCCTTATATCTCTTTCAAATCAAAAGAATAAAAAACAAATAAAAACACACACACGGAGAAGTATAGAAGAACAGGAAAAAAAGAGAGAGAAAGAGAGAGGGGAAAAAGTGGGTAGAAGAAAGAAACAAATAAACATACACACACAAAAACAAAAACAGCCTATGGAAAAGAAAAAAAAAACATTAAAATGCAAATAAAGTTGATCAGGGAACGCATCCAAATAACACAAAAAAACAGAAGAAAACAAGAGACATCTTAACAAATACTTCGCATGTTCCACCTTTTTTTTTTTTTTCCACGACTCTAGACCCCACTCAAATAAGTTGGAGAAGTTGAAGCGTACTTTATCACGGCTTCAATCCAAGATAAAATAGGAACCAAGTGGTGTCACTACGCTGGCAGCATTGCTTCATCCAATCTATTATTAGAGACATGGTTTTCTTGCTTTTCAGTTAGGGGAAGATCATGGGCCGGAACAACAACATGTTTCAACCCGGGTTCACTTTCAGGATGAACAATTGGATCTTCAGACATCAATTCATTGATAAGGGCATCTTCATCAAATCCATCAAGAGGTTGGGCCAAAAGAGCATCAATACGACGTGCTTCCTCTATTGTCTCCGCTGTACCATCCATAAGCTCAGCAATATCATCTACGTTTAACATGGAATTCAATTTCGAGAGCTCATCTTTACCAGTTTTTAAAGCATGAAAAACCTCCATTTCAATTTGACTAAATTCAACGGTATCAAGGAGACTTTGAACATTATTTAGCATGTCTGTGACAGTTGTAACCTGTGACCGCTGGGCCTGTTCCCGTTTCAGACAATACAGCGCCTTACGACGATTACCAGAACGAAGGAACTCACTAGCCTTTGTTCTCTCTTCTTTTGCACTACTTTCGTATTTTCTTATCGCTGCCGCTAGCTTGTCACGCTGTAACTTTAGCTCAAGTTGAACCCTATCCGATGAAGTGATCATAACCTTCTCCGAGACGGGTGGTGCCGTTCTCTGACTGCTTGCCTTGCTCTCCCGAGAACCCATGATTAACTGGAACTAATAATTAAAACTAGGGTGTAGAAAAAAAAACAGTAATGATAGTAGTTAAACGAAAACATATCAAGAAGAAAAGAAAGGACTGAGGGTATTAAAGGAAACAACAAGAGAGTCCCAAATAACCAGAAACACAAAAAAAAGGATTTACGTCCACCGAAAAATAATAATAATAATAATAATAATAATAATAATAATAATAATTAAGTGAGGGTGAGGGGTGGTGGAAAGAAACAGGTTGCCCTAAAATCAACACTCAAATGAACATTAAACAGTGGAGAGTATAAAGGGGGTGAAAATGGAGAAAATCAAAAGAACTTTGAAACGGAAAGGCATACCAGAAGAAAATCCCGTGAGCCAACAGCAAAGGACAGAATGAAAGATTATTTAACCTTAGGAAAAAAAAACCTTCAATTAGGTTGGAACAACGAAGTGCAACTAATACAATTACAGAAAGCATAGAAGAAGAAAAAGAGGGAAGCTTGACTCTTTGTGTTATACTACACACCAAACGTGTTTTGCACGGCAAAGAATAAGGGTGAGAGCAACCAGAATAACCTTTTATTGGGTTTCCCAAATCAAGGGAGACAAAGGCAAGACCAATAGAAGGAAGAATAATTATGCTCAGAAGGGGGAAACCACTACAGAATACAAATAATTAATTCCTTCAACACGAATGGTCCCACCAAAAAATAAGAAAAAAAAAGCCACGTCGCCCGGGTTCCCCTTCAGAAGGTCCACTTCCACATGGCATTATTTCCATTACAAAAAAAAAAACAGCATAACTGCCCGATTTGCAGAAAAACATCCAGAAATACCATTTGGGTGTCACCTTAACAACGTTATTTATTAATTTGACCAAGTGACTCCTCAAAACACATTAGAGTCACACCCCTCACTTAATATTTCATACACAAAAACTAGAGTATTTAATTATAAGACCACAGTTCATATATCTGTTGAGAAACAAGTGAGATTTTAAAAAATTGTGAATTCACCGTTCCGAACAGTAATTTATATTGGGGCTCGTGATCATTTTGAGAAACAAATGTCAGTACAAGCAGCCAGAGAATAATAGGGCGCCTCATCCTTTTGTTGCTGTTTTAGCTACCAAAGAATCGCTCACTGGATATGATACTCAGACTTCAACAGATAGATCAGAAGAACAAGAATAACGAATTCGGAAGATATCAGAGACAACGGTGAGTACAACCTCATTCTTAAGATACTCCAATCATCCATTGAAAAACGCAAAGAGTAGCTTATTGTTCAATGAAAGCAACCAAGAACGTAAATAAGTATAACAACGTTGACCAAAAAAAATTTCATTACGTCAAAATGGTCACTGAGACTAGACACAATAATGCAGTATAGACTACGTAATAAACACAGACGGACCCACACGAAAAAGCGAAACCTATGTAAAGAAAAAAAAAAAAAAAAGAATCCCTTAGAGCCTCTTCATGCCCGAGAAAACTCAAACAGCAGCTACTTTACATAAAATCGCTCCAGATCCATTTCTTTTTTTTTTTTCATTTCATGATGATTACAACGAAAACATGTCAAACTTATCCAAAGACACATTGGTGACATCATCACTGTTCACCACACTCTTTTCAGGCTCTTTACTACTGTATAGGAACCAAGAAAAATATCAAAGAACGCGATACAGAGTCTATTCACCTCCTTCCTGAGAACCCTTAGAAGACCCATCCTTGTTCCTTTTTGTTCCCTTCAAATAGGACCAGGGAAAAACCGAGAGTAAAAGTGTTATTCAGATAAAGAATAAGAGAATGTGAAAAAAAAAAAAAAACTTGTTAAAAAACCGGCAACACAACATATCTCTTTAACACCTTATCATATGTGTATATCCTCTTTTTTTTTTTCTACCGCACCACAGAATATGCTACAACCCGTTGTCACCAAGGCAGTTTCTCCAATACATTCTGGTGAATGGCAAAACCCGAAAAGTAAAATAGAGCGAACGGGATTCCAAAGATAAAACTTGTTGGATATAATCTTATTCTATGCGACTCTTCAACTCTTTTTTATAAGAAAAAACTCAAATTGTTGTATCACAAGAGAAACGTGGATGAAGAAAAGGAAATTTTCTAGCGAAATTTGAGTTGCAGTGGAGGGACGATGGGGCATTTGATCGATCAGCTCTAAAGACAATATTGAATAGCAATGAGCCAGAGTGCTTGGGGTTTTCTCCTAGACCTTGCAACAAAGGCCAAAAAACTGGACGCACTATTCTTAGAACTCTGACACCCCTTAAAGTAGATCATTTGGTCCTCCCCACTGGATGTGAATATTGTGTTATCTTTTAAAATCAGAATTTAACGACGGAGATGCACAGGAAACCATTTTTTTAAGTGATCTTTTGCACCGACAACCCTCCGCAAACTAAGCAAGAAGAAAGATGCCGTCAACATGGTGGATCGCAGCATTTGCTCACACATCAGAAGAAATGTTTGTCTCTAGAATTGGAGCGGGTGGAGGGGCACATTTTCGCTCAAAAGGACGCCGCGACCATGAGCCCATCGGAATCCAAAACCCCCATTCCTCAGAGAAAGAGGTAGACAAAAAAAAAAAAAAAAAAAACATCCAACAGTAAGAGAACCTCGTACAATGGCGTGAGGTCTTTTGTTTTTTCACGTTGGGCCACGGAAGCCATGAGCGCTTTCCGCATTGCCCCCGTGGATTTGCTTTAGTTTTTAGCTTCAAACAGCAGTTCAGGCCGCTTTTTCTGCGGCTACCCCGCCTCGTCAAGCGGCGAAAGGCAAGCGCATATGCCGCGCCATGCTGCTATTATACTGTTCCCGGGGGGCCGCTGCCCGGAGGTTGGCGGGAGGTAGCGGCCGACAAGGTGATTGCGATAAGGGGGCGGCGTTTCTGTAGCGACCCGTTCCCCCCTCCTTGGCGTCGGGGGCGCGTTCCCTTCAATCGCCATTGGGTTGCCCGGTGGCCTTTTTCGGGGCGGTGGGAAGGCCGGTTTGCTGGGCCAAAGGGGGTTTGGACCCCAATGACTGGCAGGGCAAGTTCTTCTTTGCCCTCGCCAAGCCGCCAATCTAAATATTTTTTCGCTTTGGAAAAGCCACCGTGGCAACGCGACTGGGGCAATCTTTTTCGTGTGGGCGACTTTATTTCAGGTGGCAATCTTTTTTTTTTTTTTTCTTTGACCTTCGTGCCTTATGAACGTTGCCCCAATAGCGCACCTGCCAGCTTACAGTCGCAGAGCACTTTGATTACTGACTTGCGAGTGGTGTTGTGGGAGAAGATCCCTTTCTTTTCTGGGGCCTTCAAGCTCTTGTAATGCGGTTATTGTTATTTTTGGTTTTTTATTATTTACTTTTTTCTTAGTTTAAAATTTTGTTTCATGTTTCTGTTGAAGCACGTTCCCGCAAAAGAGAACCAATCTACGAGAAATCCCATCGAAGAATCTCCACACCCACCTTTCCACCGGAGATCTGTCCTTGAGACTTCTTTTATTGTTTATTTTTGTTAGTTTTTTTTTATATATATATAATTTGGCCTCAATGAACTCCTATGTATTTTTCTTGCTTCTTGGGTCGGCGGCAAGGGCCTCTCACACACGAGTTTGCCAGGTCTTCCATAATATAGGGTATTGCCAGTTCTAATGTGCGAGGGAGTGCTTGCGAGGGAAGGGGAAGGAGACGTAGGTTTTTTGGGGGTGAGAAGAGTGGGGAATAATGCAGTTCGGCCCCACCGCAAGAAGTAACTTCACTAGCCGCTCAGAAAAACATACTTTCATCAGGGGTACATCAACTATCGCAAATTACATTCGCAGAGGATGAAGGGTACTACGGCTCAAAAGACGCAGAGCTGTTTTCTCGCGTTCGTCGCGTTGGCCGGGGGGCGCGCGAGTGGGCGGACACTCGTGTAGCCAGATGCGGTGCAAAGTGAGGCCAGATTTACTCACGCACCGGCGGTCGCATGAGGGGCAGACTAATGCCGGAAGGTCTCTTGTTTTTCTTGGCTTGTGTCGTGCATTGGTGGAATTCATTTTTGTTGGCATTCCTTGTTCATCATGGAATTTCTGCAGTGGATAGAGAGGGGTTCTAAGTGGGCGTAGAACTTCTGGGGCACTCCACATTGAAACCTGTCATGGTTTTCACAAGCTCCGGTGGTGATGAATCTCACAGGCGTTTCTTCTTGCGTAGAAAAGTTACTTGTATGGTTGCCGGCAAAACTGGAGTTTCAGGTGGGTGTTTAAACTTTTTGTGGCATGCGAGAGTCCCAATGTTGCCGAAGTCGCGTAGGCAAAATTCGCCGCGTAGTGAAGCAGGCTGTGGGGTTGATTGGGTGCCGGGTGCGCCTTTATTGAGGTTCCAGGATCCAATGAGTTGCCATCGATGGTGGGGAAGGGGTTTGCCCCATCCTTTGAGAATCCTTTTGGTGTGCACAATTGTATCTGTGATCCAGGTTTCGTTTCTTTGAGGGGAATATTAAGCTTTTTCGGTTTCTGCGTCGTATTTTTTTATTTTTTTGCTACTCCGCAGTGACCGAACAAAATACCACCGAATGTGGGACTCGTTTCTCTTAGCGGCAACTTGGTGCGGGCAATACTGCTGACAGCAGGTCAACGCGTGCCCCAGGACTTTCTTGGATATATTTCTGCCCCTGCACGGCGCAGCTGGCCCCGGTACTGTACCACGTCTTACCCTGAGCTTAAACGAGTCTTCCAAAAGAAAAACATCGCTGGCCCTTCGCTTCCCCCGAGAATGCAAAAAAACCGGATATTGGCACCGCGGTGGGCGGCTGGCAATTCCAAGGAATGATGTATATTTTGACCTTTCTTTTCGTAGGCTGTTGGAAAATAAAATAAAACTTTTCAACAAACCCGAACGATATCCATTTCAGGGTTACAGGGCCCCCTTGGTCCAAACCAGGGGCCCCGGGGAAATTTTCAGGACCCCCCGTCCCCACTACCACCCCCAGCCCACAAAGGCAAGTTTCTTTACCCGCAGGAGCGCGCTCTTGCAATTGAAGGGCGGGTTTTTAGCACAACGCACCCGACCAGGGGAATCAAAGACCATCACCCAAACAGAAGGCACCCCCCCCATTTCAAACCCCTGGCGGTTTAATGGGGCGTTGTTTTTGCCCTTGCCAAGGTAATTTGGGCGGCGGCGGTCGGAGAGAGTTCCGCGTGAGGGGCGGGCGTGGGGTGCGGCTTTGGCTCTTTGGGTGCTTTGACTTCGCTTTTCCATTCGCAACGAGAAAGGGTCGCAGTGATATGCAATTCCGCCTTTGGCTTCGTTGTATCGGGGTGGCGTCTCTGTTGATCTACCCTTCCAATTGCGTCAGGCCAAGTGGCAAAATAAGGAGAGAGAAAATGGGATTTAAAAAACCACACGGGGCACATTTCTGGGAGTGGCGCTTCTCCCGCCCCATGGTTGTCGTCAAGGATGCGGATTTTATTGCATTTTATCCTACCCAATTTCGGAATATCTTGCTCTTGTGTGGCCCATCGGGTCCGTACTGTTGGTGGTTTCAATGATTGCATGAATTTATTTTCTCTGTTTCTCTTGGGGGTATTTGGTGCTGACCCTTCTGGGGCGGGGATCTCGGTACCATCAATAAATTTTCTTGGCTGGCTTCTTCCTTTTTATTATTTCATATGCATCTGTACGGTTTTTTTTTTTTTAATTTTCGTGTCTTTATGGGTTTTAGCCCAATGGCCCGAGCCACCGACAGCAATACATATAAAGATATATGTATATAATTTTTTTCTTTTATTTTATTTATTATTATTTTTTATTTTTAATGACGGTTTACCATTGCGCAGAGGAATTGCGCATTGGTAAAGGGATCGCTATGGATCTTGTAGGTGGCGGGGCGTGGATTCTTCTCGTCGCTCTGGCTCGCCTCAGGGGTCGATCCAGTTTCCGCAACTGGAGGGCATTATTCTTACTATCTCTAAGGACCCTGTCACTCCTTTTTTGGCAGTATTCGCGCTAAAATAAAATGTGTAAAAGAAACCGCTGCTAATGCGTGCCCCAGGGCCTTCTTGGATAAGGTTTTGTCCCAGCACGACTCTGCTGGTCCGGTGCTGTATGAAGTTTGTGGCTTATGAACCCGAAAACTCTCAAGAAGAGAGTTTACTGGCCCATGGCTTCCCCAGAAAAATATACGAGGTAATTGATCTTGGCCCCACCTTTCGACGGCCAACCGCCACCAAGGGGAGAGCATTCCGAAGAACGTATGTATTAAAAGAAAAATAAAAAAAATTTCTTTTTTTGGGAGACCACCTCCTTAAAAATTTTGGTGAATGCATTTAGTTTCCTTGAATACTTTCAAGTACTTAACCTTGGCACCACAATAATGCAATCCTCGTTGCCAAGGTCTCAGTTTGGTAGCACTCCTTCTGCGCCACAGATGGCATCAGCAGATTCTGTAGAAACAGCATGCCGGCGGGGTGGTATGGTCAAGCAGTTGCTCTTTTTACCTATTTTTTAATTTAATTATTTTTTCTTTTCTTAGCCTTTTTTTTTTGCAATTTGTATGCTGCTTTTCTTTGCTGCGGTGCAATTGTGCCAATATTGTGCTAAAAGAATTTTGCCGCGCTGAAACGGAACGGGTAGTGATGCGAATTGCATATTAAAAAAAACATACAAAACTAAAGGTTCAAAAAAGTGTACGTTATTTTTTTCTACGGGTCTAGAAAGACAAGGCGCCTTATGTTTTCTGCGTAGTAATTCGTTTCCCTCGATGGAGTGAATGTCATCTACGACGGCTTTTTCTGATAGCAGATGTTTCATTTCCGAAGCAGGGGGTCCAATTACCAGTAGATTTGCGCCAAACCGAGGGGGAAAACCGTCGCGCCACCGTAGAGAAAAAATAATCTATTTTTGACGGTTCTTTTTTGGACGAAGTGGTGCGACAAAGTCTTTCCTGGGCAAGAGCATTTATTTACTTTTTTTTGGTGGTGGGGGTGGTGTGGGCGGCACCGTTTGTGGTTAAAAAAAAAAAGTGACTGGAACTTTGCCTATTGAAGCGGGGGCGGGCGGGGGCACGCGCGCCGCGCCGCAAAGGATAAAAAGAAACCCAAAACTCCCTTTTAAGAAATTTCTCGGCTGTTCCCAAAGGGCAGTGTGCAGCTTAAGAAGTAAAAAAAGAAAACACACACAAAAAAAGAATTGCCACGCCCTTTGCCCGTCTACGGTATAAACCCTTTGGGGCCCCGTGCTCTGCCGGAAGCCTTGTTTAAATGTGATTTTAATCGAGTTTTATTTACCAAATACCCGGCTTTAGCCGGAGCCCCGAAGCCTCTTCCGGTGGGAAAATGAAGGGGGAACCGTTCTCACAGAACGCCGGCGGGGATAAGAAAAAAATATATGCAAATTCCAAAAGGAAAAACTATTGGAAAGGAGTATTTTACAAATATACTTCTATTGACGTTGAAAATCTACGTTTTTCTTCTCTTTTTGGCGCTCTGGCGGTTTACTGTTCGACCGTGCTGCTGCGGTCTGGTGATGAAAAGTGGCACCTTTGAACCTGAAGCGAATGTAAGAGCAAATTCCTGTTTAAACAAATTGCGCAGAACAGCCTGTGCAGAACTCCAGGGCCGCCTTTTCTCCGGAGGAGATGGCCACAAATTTTAAAACTTGAAACTGAAGCACTGGTTTCACCAACGCCAGTAGGCGAACATGTTCTCTGTTATCAGATTTTTTTAGGGTCTTCTTCGGGTTTCTTGACTATCGATGCCGGTGCAGTTTGACTTCCGGCAGGGAAGGAATGTATTTAATGAAGATCATCTTTTGTTTTTCAGGAAGAAACATTGAGTATTTATACAGCTTCAAGCATAAAGGGAGATTTTTGCCAATACCTTTCCGGTGTTGATTCAAAGCAAAAACTGCAAAGACATTTTTAATGCCCCTCGCACGGTTTCCGAAAGATCTTAGTGCTAAGGTGAAGTGGCTTCCACCATTTCTTTCAAATGTTTTTTTATTGGTTATTTTTTTCTTGTTTGGTTCCTTCTTAAAGCCTCGAGGGACCGTACGGGGAACACTCTTGCCAGAAGTGCGCCGGGGGAAAACGCATAATATCTTCTTTTTTTCATTGCCATTATGAGGTTTCATCATAAAGAGTAAAAATTGAGAGAGTGGGTCGGAAGGTGTCTTTTTTTAATGGCCTCTGGGCAGATGCGCCCATCAATTCCAGGGCGAAGTAGGCGATATGAATCGGGGCACCCAAAACTTTTACGCGATATAATTGGCAAATTCCATTTTCTTGCCATTTGATCAAGACGAACGGTCCGCAGCCCAGTTGCCACGTCGATTCGCTTTAGCATTTTAACGGAAGGAACTTCTTGCCCATTTCGACCGGGATTGTAAAAGGCAATCGGCACCTTTCCGCAAGCCTTTGGTATGAACCGCCTCCCCGAAGAATCACGGTTTCTTGGAATATTTGGGAAAGTACGTCCAATTTTATCTACAGAAGGGCGCCGCTTTAACGTAGAGAGCCAACTTTGCATCACCACTGCGAACCTGCCAAGTTGCAATTCCCCGACGAAGCTTTTGGAAAGGAAGAACATGTAATCACGCAATTGAAGAAACCACGACTAAAAACGGCACGCGATACAGACGCCTCCCAATTACAAAGGGCCGTAGAAACATCGTCAAATACCAAGATACAGTTCTCAAAAAAAAAAAAAAAAAATGCAAGACACCACAAGAACTAGCAGATAAAAGCGCTACCAGAACAAAAGCCTCACCCCACCGCGTGGCAAAGGAAGGCGCTGGCCTTGGTATCGGAGACGGGGGGTTCCTTTGGAAAGGACGCCTCGCAAAAGCAGGGCCATGAAGCATTCACGAACCCAAGAAGAAACCACAAGAATTTAAGGCAACTTAGAAGGAATGAATCCAGAGATTTAAAGGGGCGGCAGAAAAACTATTGGACATTTCGTTTTCTCAAAACGATCATTGCCCGCGTTGTGTTGTGTTTTCCTCGTGCTGCCAACGGCCGCCCTGACCACACAGCAGTATGATTTCTTTTCCTGCCTTTGGTGCGGCGTGGTTGTTGCCAAGGGCTTTGTACGGCATTCGCCCTTCCAGTGAGGAAAAAAAAAAGAAATACGCCCCAGACCAGATAAAGACCGCACGCCCTGTTGGAGACCATTCCGTGGCGGAAACAAAGGCGCCCCCCAAGCTCAGCTATTTCCCCAGGGGTTGAAGGGAAGGAGCCCGGGCATTAAGGCAGCCGAGAAGTCAAAAAAAAAAAAAACAAGGAGATTAACTAAAGGAATGATAATTTTTGAACCCGTGGGAATGGATTAAGGGATCCAGAAAATTGGGCAGGGTTCTGCAAAAAGAAAAAAAAAAATGGAAGGGAACGGCCGCAAGCGCAGAATAAACTAATTTCGAACGAATTCCCAAGGTCTTAAAGTATTACATGGTGGATGCTAAGAAACGTTTTTTTTTGTGCCACACCATAAAGCAAACGAACGGGCGGATGACATTTGCGGAAGATACACTGTTTGCGTTTGCGGCGCATGAAGGTGGAATTTAGAGGTTCCTGCTGAGGAGGGGGTGGGGTAAAGGGAATCCCCCTGTTTATTGTAAACCCGTAATCGGCAAACTACTGCGAGACGCAGGGTGCTTGAACATCGCAAACTCCCATGGCGCTGGACCTGGCGTCAACTCAAAATGGTTGTGGCGGCCGAAAAAAGTATAGACGACGAAATCTCAATCATCACGGCAATTCCGAGCATCTCGCCAGAGCACTTTGGTTGGGTGACTCGTATTTTCAAGAGAAGCTAGGGAAAGTGATATTTTTTCTTTTGGAAAATCTGTTGGCGCCTAAAAGGGAATATCGCGCATCAAGAAAAGCTTCGCGTGTTGGAGTCTTGGGGGTGGGGGATGGAATTGATGCTACAAGCTCCTTATGCAAACGCCGACGGGCTTCACGCAACGTCACGCGCGGCAAGTTGCGCTGAGTGCCCATGTGAAGGAAAATACCGCTCCATAACTCACAAGAGGTGTGCGCTAAAACCCTCGGCTAAACTCAGTAAGGTAAAGGGGCCCGTTCTTTGGAAAACCTTTATTTATGAGAGATTTGCCCTTAGCCACTCGCTGGTGGCAAACCGCTGGAATCCAGCAAAAGACAACCCAGAACCCAAACGAAACAAAAGAAACGAAACTCGCAAGATTCCACAAAGGAGTTTCCAATTAACATGGTTGGCCATCGCGAAAGCGGCAGGGTTATTTTCCCCTACCTGGTTGTCGGTTGCGCGAACCCCAAAAGCAAAAAACACCCGCCGAGCCAAGCCGAAGGCCGACCAGCAAGCAAAGAAAGATAACCTGCAACTTGAACCTGGTGTTGCGCAGAATGCTCTTGCAGGAATTCTGCGGCGGTGTATGGGGTCAAAAAATACGGTTTCAAGAGAGCCGTTTCGCCCTCTGGCGGGGAAAGTTTCCGATGCCCCACCACTCCCGGATACCCAAAACGAACCGCCGCCACCGGAAACTTTCCGGCGCCCGGCCCCGCCCCCCCAAACCAACGCCGCGCGCTCGCTTGCCAGCATTGCTTTCGCCCAAGGATTCCATGGGAAAATTGGGTAAAGCGCCGCCCAAAACACGCGCGCGCGAGCTGGGGGCCGCCCCTGTCGGGTGGGATGGGCCCGGGGGGCGGTGTTCCCTCTCGTTGGGTATGGCGCGGTGGGGCTCTGCGTCGGGGTTTGGTGGCTCTTAACCGGTCAAACACCCCTGGGTGCACATTGCCCGACTAACCGGGCGCAGGGTTAACGGTACAGCCGGCATCGCTGCGCTACGATTTCTCTTAAAGAGAGTTTGGCAAGATAGGTGCTGCGCCACAAGATGGAAACACAAGCAAAATCAACCTCCTGGAGCTGCAACGCACCCTTTGTTCATAAAAGCACTCTTCCCACGAAACAACAACAACAACAATAACAACAACAAAAAAAAAACACCCGCGCAATTAGTTTCCACGAGAACTTGGGGACAGTTGTAAAGCTCAAAGTTGGGTGCGCTAGGGAGTTTTCGCCCAACGAGCATTTCCAGCCGCGCGCTGCGGGAAACCCCGCGGTGTATTAGAGGTTCCCACCGAGTAAAATTTCAAGCTCTCCTGGGGACAAGCGGCCATTGGATAGTTTGTTTCGGCGCCGCTTTGATTGAGGCGAAACTGGCCGGTGTGTGAAGAAAGCAGGGACTCGCTTTGCACCGTATTTTTCCAGAAGAGTTTCAACCCACTTGCGTCCAAATTGGGCAGCATGAGATCTATGAAGAAAAGCCGATGTAACTATTGAGTCGTCCCGCTCTTGAACCCTCTCCGCGTTTAGCTCATCATAAAACGCGTCTCCCTATGAGGTTGACGTTTTTCACAACGGTCGGCGCCATTCTATTTGGCAGTGTGGGCTGAGGGTGGGGCTTAACGCAAACCACAGGCCTGAGGGGCGGGACGCCTGACGACCGTACGCCCGACCCCTGCTAGGAGAGCATGTCGATAATCTGTGTGAATGCGTTGCGGTGAGCTCGCATGGAGACCTGCGGAAATGTAAATCATCACACTCATCAAGAAGCAAGAAAAAATAAATAATAGCAGTGCGTTGGGGCCAACCAAATGCCAAAAAAGGGGAACTGCCGGCAGACGCCGGGCACAAAGAGCGAAGCTGGTGAGTTCTCATGGGTTGTTTTGCTTCTCCAGGGAAACGTTAAAAATAAACTCTTAATTAACTCAATTTACAAGAAAAAAATCAAGAATTAACAGAATCAATATTGCAAAAAGTCTGGGAACCCGGAAAAGATAAAAGGGAGCCCACCCCCATACAACGCAAACCTCTTGACGTAGCGAATGTCGCCAACGGAAATTGGCCAACTGCCCCGTCGCTGTAGTAAACCTAAAAAAGAGGTGACGAAGAACAACAACAACAACAACAACAAAAAAAAAAAAAAAAAACACTATGAAGGGATAGGGTGGCCCGGGTCACCGAATGCTTCGTTCACACATTCTTTTTTCTTATTTTACTTATTTTTCTTCTTATTATTCTTCTATTATTATGTGCAGGAAAAATGAAGGAGAAAAACTCCATTGCAAGCAGAATCTGAGGAAATATTTGAGGGTTTCTCTGGTGTTCATGGGGCGCAGCCGTTGTAGGGAAATAACCCAATGCATTGAAGGGTTTTAGGCAGGAGACGGCCTATTTGTGTAAATTTTCTTTGGTAAACCTTCGCGAGTTTATAATATATTTTAGATAGTCAACACGTGTGGCAAAGGCCCAAAAGAGGTGGAGCAGAGAAGTAGACGTTGTGTATTCTTCACAATATAAAAAAAAAATACATTCTTACAATGCGGCGTTGGGTGTGGTCCGGTAGATGTGGTGTCACTGGGGTGTTCTTTGCTCATGTCGCTACAGGCCTCCCTCGCGCTCAAAAAGCACTACATAAGCTAAATGTGGATTTGTTTTTGCGATTCTTTGTTATGAAAGACGTTGTGGCTGAGCTTCATGAATAACGTTTGCGTTTCTCTGTGTGGATTGGAAGGGGTGGTGGGGTTTATTTCCATTTAATTGTTTGCTTGAAGTTGGCGTTTTGGGGATTGTGAGAGTTTATTGCTTTTCCCAGTGTCTGTTATTTGCGGGGCGGCTGCTTTTACAGGCGTGAAAGATGTATTTGCGCTGCTTCGCAGCTCCATTTTGCTCGGTTCAACCCACCGACCAGGAAACCAGCCGAATTTCGCAGCCTTGGTTGCTGGCGAATTTGTTTCTGGGTGGGGTGGGGCCGCCATTCAGGATATTATGCAGGGGAGGGTTTTTGATTTCCATTGATGTTTGGGAGGGGGGTGGGGGTTCTTACAAGCGCGTTGTTTTCCAAGCAGAAACGGGAGGTCCCTAGTCGAGCTTTTGTTCGTTAAGGTCTAACTGGGCCTTTGGCCGCCGCGTTTGAGTCAGGGGCTCGCCCTGATAGGCGCTGTGAAAGAAGGAATCGGGCATTTGCAGACTTCGGTTGGTGGATGCGGAAATGGCGGGCGGGGTTTTGGCGGGTTAGTGTGGTCATCAGCGCCCCTTTCGTTCGTTAATGGTAACGGGCTCGTGGGTGAAACTTTTTCGAGAGAGCGGATCCAAAAGCGAGAGGTTCCAATTGGAAAATGGGAAAAGGTCAGGCGTTTCGTCTTCCCTATTTTTTTTTCCACCTCCCTCGTTGGGTTGGTTTGGCGGGCGGGGCCCGTGGCGTCTTGCCCTTCCGGAGCGGCGGGGGAGGGGGGGGGTGGTGGAAGGCGCTCCCGGCCCACGGCGCGGCGGAAGGCACGTTCCACCCTCCCGCCCGGGCGGCCGGCGGCGCCCGTTGGGCAGATAACCTCTTTTTTTTTCAAACGCGCGGGAGGGTGCCAAAAGAAAAAAAGAAAACGCCAATGCCACTCCCACTCCGTCTTCGTTGAGGCGGGGGCTCGGGTTTTCCGGGGGCTGTTCCGGGCAGTGCGGCTCGGCAAGCGGCGTCCTTCTGGGCATGTTGCCCCGGTTTTTTTGATCGGGGGCGGGGCTCTGGTTCGCTGCGGTTGGTGGGGTGCTTGTTCGTGGTTTCTGCATGTCGTTTTTTTGGTGAGGGTCGGCAGGCTGGTGTCGTGGCGTTTCGTGATTTTCTAACCAGAGGGTTGTTGAGGAAGGTTCGTACGCCTATGAATGCTTATGTGCATTTTTTTTGTTTTTGTAATTTTTTTTTTTCTGTATCCGAGGCCTTCTGCGGTGGTGGTTGGTGTATGTTTGTGCTGGGAGTGGGTTTTTTTTTTTTTTTTTCTTGCTCAGGTGGAAATTGATGCTTCATCGTTTTCATCCTCCTTTCCGTTGGGGTTCTCTGTGTGTTTCTTATTTCTATTATTTTTTGTTTTTGCTCTTAGCCTCTTTCTTTCTACTGTTCACCTTCCTTGAATTTCTTTTTTTTTTTTTGGTGGGTTGGCGCGTTACTTTACTTTTTTTTTCTGTGATTCCAGGCAATATCTATGGTTTCCTCAAATTGCCTGGGTCTTTTGTTCTGTACACTCTGTGGAGAAAACGCTTGCGATAAAAAAGAATGAAGATGTGTGTCATTGTCTGCGTATAATATTCTCCAAATACCTTCCGTTAAATAACCTTTAGTAGAAAAGCAGCCGTTTGGCAATTATTCTGGATACCTTAAGAGCGCTTTCACCAACATTTTTTGATTTGGTGAGATGTTTTCGTCTCGTATACAAACAGAAATGTGAATCATTGAGTAAATGAATTGAATATATAAATACATAAATAAATTAACAAATTAATGAAAATTAACGGAGAAGGTAAATAAATAAATGCATACACGGAGTCAGACAGATATATATGTGCGTAAAGTGATGCGTTTGCTTTTTATGCAAGCTGGATTTCTTTAAGCATGATTGTGCTACACGCTGCCTTTCCCTCTTATTGGACATTGCGGATAAAAATATGTGAAAGGATTGGTTCTTGTACACATCTTTACCTTCCCTTTAGCCAGAAAAAAAAGGAAACAAAATAGTAGAAAAAAAAATAATAAAAAAAATAAAATAATTATATAAATGTATAAATATATATGCATACATATATGTGGAATTGATCGAGAAGGAGATCTACAGGTTTCTACTGCTCTGTCAAACGAGAGTATGGATAGTATCACCAAGTGATGTTATTTTTTGTGATCGTGAAACACCTGATCACAGTTCTGTAGTAGAACTTCCCACCCCAACTCTGCCACACCTACCCTTTTCGTGTCCATTGTCTTTATTATTATTATTATTATTATTATTATTATTATTATTATTTTGTTATTTTTCCTTTTATTTTCTTGTTTAAGTCAAATGAATTGATGAGTTTGCAAAATAATTGGAAAAAAGGCCAAAAGAAAAGGTTTTTCCATTTCTTTTCCCTTTTATGATGTCACACTCAATCTTCATGATGAAATAAATTTCACTGTACCAAGATACAAATATCCAAAAAAGTTTGTTAGCGAGATCTCACTAACCCTAATATACCTCTTTATTTGTAAACAAATACAGTTTATTATCGGGAGTAATCATGATAATGAATAACTAATAAAGGAAAAAGGCGCAAGGAACAAAAAAAAAAAAAAAACTGACCGCCTGAAACAATCCTACACATCTTCATATG